ATAACAACTCTTTGCCTTAAAATACACAACCACAATGTTTCGTTACCATACAACATTTTTACATGTTTATAATCAAGTCAACAGTCAATTGAGATAGGCAGGAAATGAACCCGAGCCTTTACTGCAGAAGTTTTGTACAATAACCACTATAATCAAACAACTGAACTCGATTTCCGCTATCCACTTCGATCAATAAACTAATGCAACTAGAAACGCTTTGTAATTAGATTTTGATCCTTGATCCCAAATCAATCATACCTGGGGGATCAATAATACTAGAGTCAACAGAAGGGTTTACAAAGTTAATTAATAAATTAGCATATTTTGAACCAACGCTGGTTTTAGAAACATATCAATAAATAACACCAAACAAGCAAATTGTTCGGGAAAGAATGTTCAATTTAAAGGTTTTTAATTTGCCTACCTCAACGTTTTAATATCTTTCTCGTTATTTTCAATTGATCTCTTAATTGTAACTCGATCGCTATGACGGTCGGAAATTGTATTTTAAAATTTATACTTTGCACAATTTATTTTTACTCACACCGTCCATGGGAGAATGCAATTATGTTACGGTGAACGTTAAAGTGATGATTACTTCTAAGAGGTTTTGATTATTGCATTCAATATACTATTTTTATTTCAAAATTAATATTCAAACCCTATTGTTAGGTTATATTTAATCCCTCGTCAATTTTTATTAGGCTAAATATTTAACCTAAAAATAATAATTGGGAAATCTTTTTTTAATCATAGTGGATATTAAACTTGAAAATCTTTGAATAAGTTTTAGGCCGTCCTCACGACAAATTACATATTTTCCTTTATTATTAAACTGTTAATTATAAGTTCATTTTGTGTGACCGCATAGTACCCCATTTTATTTCTATTTATATTGTATTTGTTATGGAGTGTAATCAAATCAGTCGTAAGCTTTGCTTGAATAGAATTTTTAAAACTTAAATTGGTTAGGTTATTGTCATATTCAAAAGTGTTTTTATTCATTTCTTCTTTGAAATTTACTTTTGCATCATTTACAATTGTTAACAATAAAAAAAATTTAGGGCTAAACATATTGCTCGAATTAATCTCAAGTTGGGAAATATATTTCGGTGAGCTTTAATATCAAGCAAATTTCATCCGTAGTCAATATTTTCCCTACACAACTTTCCTAAGGATTATTACTCTTGTTTTCGGTATCTTGTTATACTGTACAGTTCAGATTAGTTAATATTCCAATGCTAATCCTAAGTGTAGTAACTATCCCTCCCCGAGGTCCAATGTTATCTAACTTTATCGCCTCAACGTATCCAAACAACCGCATGCAACAACAACTACATTAATGTATCAAGAAAATATTAAAGTATGTTAGTTAGCCACTCAGAACTTCTTGTAAAAGAGAATGCATGATCCCTATTATATACACAAATATTTGAACGGCTTAGACCAATTTCTCTACACAAAGTAGACACAAGCGTTTGCACAAAATTTACTCCAACCAAGATTTGTGTTCTTAATTAACTTCAGGTTGTGAATCTGATTTACAAGAGCATTTATGTGAGTATCTTTAGAACGTTAAGATATTTTCAGCATATTTGATGAAGAGTTTGATGAACACTTCTCCTCGAGGATTGACAAGGTGGAGCTTTGATGTCTGACGTCAAATTTATTAGACGCCTTCAGGGAAATGCATGTCACTCGATCGACTTTCTTCTTCTCCTAAGAATCTATCTTTTTTGTGAACTGGTTTTGTAATTCAATTTACACTAATAAACAGAAAGTGAAAACTTGGAACATACTTTTAAGACTATGCTTCTAATGATTGTGTATACACACACTTGAATAAATTATCACATTTGTACGACCACAAGAAAGGTGGTTTTTGGACCCAAACAACAATACTGAGTTAATGATACTGTACAACAAAAGATCGATGTTCTACAGTAACAAAACCTGAATTAAAGTCATTTCTTAATAAAATAACAAATAGAAATAAAATACAGCAAATTTTTAATGCGCATTAAACATAAATCACTGCTTAAAATATACTTAATTAATTATGTCAAATTACTAATACTATATACTTCTCAATCGCAGGAACAAAATTACTGATTCACTGAATCTCTGTAAACCACGTAAATTTTTGATACAGTATAAGCTAAATGATGGGTCGTTAAAATAAACAAATCGGAATTTAGCAGAGTTTCTTTACCTGTTATACAGTTAATACCCCTTGTTTCGTACTACAACATCGTCAGGTTCTAAACCTTCATGCTAAGGTCGCCTTCATGAAGGTCATCATCATCGTTTGAACATGACACCGTATGACACATAATAAATCAAAACAAAAACACAAAGAAGATACATAAAATATTCATACTGTATACATTTAATAATAGCTTGTTACAAAACCCACGTAGAACTCTAGATAGTTTAGTATAACATACTGCTTAGAATTTAATGTTTGTTTAATGTAATAGATAATGTTGTTTAGATAGCACCAAGACAAGAATACCGTAAACCACAGCATTAATTTGCAAACCTAGCTCCTTCTCTCAACTGTAAAGAGCTTAAATTTCTGTCTTAATTGTCCGTAAACTTTGCTCTATAAAGATTCCAACAAGCTCGGAGGTAAATTTGTAAATATCTTTTAAACAAATGTGTATAACCTTCTGTGATATGTTAAGTATTTATTATGAATACTCACAGAAATTTTACAATCTAACATAATCCCGGTTTATTTATACATTTGACCATGGATAAATAATTTTGACACAGCTAATATTTCCTTTGTCATGTTATATCTGTAGCCAGTATTATAATAAGAAAAATAATTAAAATACTTTTTTATTATTTTCTTATTTATGCCAAATGACCAAATTACTTTTACACGGTGCTGCGGCAGGTAGGTTATGTTAGATTAGTTCAGTTTGCTTCTTTTAGTTTATGGTAGGCCTAATACAAATAAGGGACCATTTATAAAACAAACGTTAATCGGTTAAACTATTGTGTATAGTTTGAAAGTTAATCCATTAATCACGGACCCATGTTCCCTTATAAGGTCATACATTTCATACTCCAGACAAAATGCCTTTACTATTTTCATTGTGACACCCTTGATAGTACACCCATGTTCCATTATATAATCACCATTATACAAAAATATCACCTACTATGGTTAAAGATAATGTGCTGGATACATTTCATACTCCAGACAAAATGCCTTTACTACTTTCATTGTGACTCCCTTGATAGTACACCCATGTTCCATTATATAATCACCATTATACAAAAATATCACCTACTATGGTTAAAGATAATGT